AAGACAGTGGTTGCCGTGAGCCGGGATGGTGCCACTGTACCACTCCAGCCTGGGCAACAGAGCGAGACTCCATCTCAAAAAATACCAAAAAAAAGTTAAAATTTATCAAAACTTATGCATACACAGACTACATTGGAGCCATTTACAGTTGAGACAAACATAAAGATGTAGTACTAAATTACAACTGAAAAAGATTAACTATAGTACATACTGCACTACTACTATAATTTCAGAGCTACCTCCTGTTGCTATTGCTGTGAGCTCAAGTGCTATATTCACTTAAAATGCCATGTGATGTTTATCATCTCCACATGGGCAGTTCATCTCTCCAGTAAATCGTGTATCGTAGTAAAAAGTGATCTCTCATGGTTCTCAGTTATTTTTCATCATGTTTAGTACAACCATAAACCTTGCAATAATACCATGGGACCCATACAACACTAGTCCCACTAGTGACGCTGGAAGGGCTCCCAAGGAGCAAAGTCATGACATTACAAGAAAAAGTTAAATTGCTTGATGGGTACTGGTCTGCAGCTGTAGATGCCCATCCTTCAAGACAAATGAATCTAGCATAAGGACCACTGTTAATAAAATTAAGAAAATTTATGAAGCCTTTACTGCATCTATACCAGCAAACCTTGTACTTTTTGTGATATACCTTTTTATCTCATATTGAAAATGCAACTTTTATGTGGGTGCAGTATTGCTATAAGAAAGATGTACCTATAGGCTCTAATATGATTGGAGAAAAGGTGGTCATTATATGACAATTTAAGGCAAAAGGAAGGTGAAGGATCTAAATCTAGAGAATTTAATGCCAGCAAAGGATGGCTTGATAATATTAGAAAGAAGTTTGGCTTTAAAAATGTTAAGATAACAGAAGAGGCAGCTCCTGATGACCAAGAGGCAGCAGATGAGTTCCCAGATGCCATTAAGAAAATCATTGAGGAGAAAGGATATCTACCAGAACAGGTTCTTAAGGCAGACAAAAGTGCCCTATTCTGGAAAAAATATACATATATATGCCACAAAGTACATTTATTAGTAAAGAAGAGAAGTGAGCACCAGGATTTAAGGCAGAAAGGGACAGGCTAATGCTATAGGTTTTTGCTAATGCTTTTGAGTTTATGGTCAAGACTGCACTTATCTATAAAGTTGTTAACTCTCAAATCTTGAAGGAAAAAGTTAAACACAAGCTGCCAGTCTTCTGGCAGGGTAACAAGAAGGTCTAGACAACAACCCTTTTTCTGGATTGGCTCCACTGATGTTTTGTCTTTGGAGTCAGGAAGTACCTTGCCAGTAAAGGACTGCCTTTTAAAGTTCTTTTGATACTGGACAATGCCCCGGCCACCCACCCAGAACTGCATGAGTTCAACGCTAAAGGCATCGAAGTGATCTATTTGCCCCCAAACATAATGTCTCTAATTTAGTTTCTAGACAGGGGGTCATAAGGACCTTCATGGCTCATTACCCACAGTACTCTATGCAAAGAACCATCAGTGCCATCCAAGAAAACTCTAACAAAGAGAACATCATCAAAGTCTGGAAGGATTCCACCACTGATGATGCCATTGTTGCTAGAGAAGAAGCCATGAAAGCCATCAAGCCCAAAATAATAAGTTACTGCTGAGGAAAACAACCAGATGTTGTGTGTGACTTCACAGAATTTACAACAGAGCCAGTCAAGAAAATCGTGAAAGAGGTTGTAGATATGTTAAATAAATAAATAAATAAATAACAAATAAATAAATAAAATGGTAGAGGGTAAAACGTTTCAAGATCTGAATCCTGGAGTGAGTCAAAAGCTAAGCAATTCAAAAGCTTAGCTTTTGGAGATGAGTGCCTCTGAATCAGTGCCACACAATGAGGAGGAAGACATTTAGAAGCAGTGCCAGTAAACAAATCAACATTAGACAATCTGTGTTGATTATTCAAGACTGATTTTACAACATGGACCCTTCTACCACACAAGCACTAAAACTAAAGCAAATGGTGGAAGAAGGATTAGTACCATTTAGAAACATTTTTAGAGAAATGAAAAAAAGCAAAACATCAGACAGAAGTTACAATGCATTTTCATAATTACAACTAGTGTGTCTGCCTTTCCTGCTTCCCCTTCCACCTCTGCTACCGCTAAGAGCAAGACCAATCCTTCCTTTTCCTCCTCCACCTCAGCCTACTCAACATGAAGACAAGGAGGATGAAGACTTTTATCATGATCCACTTCCACTTAATGAAGAGTAAATGTATTTTCTCTTCCTGATGATTTTAATAGCATTTTCTTTCTTCTACCGTAATACAATGTATGATACATGTAACAGACAAAATATGTGTTAATCTACTGTTTATGTTATCAGAAAGGCTTCCAGCCAATAGTAGGCTATAAGTAAAATTTGGAAAGAGTCAAAGTTGTATTCAGATTTTCAACTGCACAGGGGTTGGTGTCCCTAATCCCTGCATTGTTCAAGGGTCAACTGTAAATGTTTTGCTGATGGGAGTATCCACAGACTTTTGTGAATTCTAGGGTTGCTTCCCCATGCTTCTGTGCCATTTCCATCTACTGCTGTCAGTAAACATGCAAGGAGTATTAATCTTAATATTTAACTGTTACTCTTTAGGCTTAATCCAGACATTAGTCATATGAAACAAAAAGAAAACATTTTACAATGCATTCCAAAGTGGAACATATTTAATGTATCTGAGATTTTCTTAACACCAACTTTCTAGTACCTAGCATGATACTTTCTCTTCACAGACTATCTGCACTGTTTGTGCCTTCGCTTCTTTCAGGTCTTCACTGACCATCTTCACTTGTGACCACTGGTACTTTCTATCCTCTTTATCTTGTTTCATTTATCTCTATAGAACTTACCACCATCTGACATAAACAATATTTAAGTGTATATCTGCAGGCTGGGCGCAGGGGCTCATGCCCGTAATCCCAGCACTTTGGGAGGCCGAGACGGGTGGATCACCTGAGGTCAGGAGTCTGAGGCCAGCCTGGCCAACATGGTGAAATCCCATCTCTATTAAAAATACAAACAAATTAGGCTCAGTGGCATGTGCCTGAAATCCCAGCTACTCAGGAGGCTGAGGCAGGAGAATCACTTGAACACAGGAAGCAGAGGTTGCAGTGAGCCAAGATCATAACACTGCACTCCAGCCTGGGTGACAGCAAGACTCCATCTCAAAAAAAAAAAAAGTGTATTTGCTTTTCTGGGTTCTCTTCCCCTATTACTACCCTCCCTCGCACCCCAAAAGAATAAGCTTCGGTACAGATGTTCTGGTTGTTCACTCAGTGCCTTGAACACAAGTATGCAATAAAGAACACAAGATTTCTTAAGTGAATCTTGAGATTGTAAGCACAATACTCTTAAATTATAGATAAGAAAATGACTCCATGAACCTGGAGGTAAAAAGGAACCTAGGCAGAGAGCAGACATTACAAAGCCCATGCAACTGATGTCCCTACGACCCAGCAGTTAAGAAGACAGGCTTCATACTTGGACAAAATAGGATTCCAGTCCACTTATTCGTAGTGGCAAACTCTCTTCATGCCTCAATTTAGCTATGAGAAAATAGAGATGATAATGATAATAGCCCCAACTTCATGTTGTCATTAAGGTGATTAAATGCAACAATGTGTGTAAATTACTAGTGCATAAAGGAATAAGCATTTAATAAAAGGGAACTATTATTCTTATTACTACTACTATCATCATCATCATCTCAGTCAGGATCCAAAGCCAATTTTTTAGTATTTCACAAATAATTTATGGTAAGATAGGCTAACTAGTTTCTAAGTCCAGACAACTGAGGGAAAAAAGCAGATTAGAGAGATGAAAGTTGCCAGAAGCAAGATCAGAAGAAAAATGAAAACTATAAAAACTAGATTCTCAAGGTACTGCATTACCACACAATAATAATGTACGTAAAGATAATGCTTATATATTATATTTAATATACTGTCTTAAGATGGCGAGAAAATATAATTCTAAAATTAGAAAGATTACTTCAAAATGGCTCATACAAACTTTTGGTATAAAAGATAAACTTCCATTACCTTCAAAATTTATGTTCTAGAGAAAAAGCATAAATGAGACATTATTACATAAACAGCTTAGATATCCCTGCTGTAAATACCCATCAGTGTGACTTATGTGAGTCTATCTAAAGCTTTTCTAAGGGCTCACTCTTCACTCACACTCTGTAATGCTGTATCTCAGGTGCAGATTCCAGGGAGGTGGTAAATTGTTCCATTCACTGTCTTAGTGACATTGCTGCCACCTTATAACAAATCCGTATTCATTAATTCTGTTTGTTTTAGTAATAGAATATACCAAGGTCCTCTAGTAAGAAATCAAATTTCAAAATCAAAACCACATTCCAAATTTCTTAAAAGATACTTTTTTTTGTTCAATTCCTTTGTAAAAACATTGGTCACCATTTAACATACATGGCAACAAAATGCACCCAATTTACATGCATCAACAAGTTAATAAATCATAATACATGGACAACACAAATTTCAAACAAACAGTACTAAAGTAGCTCATGTTGCATTTAACTATAGTTCTTGTGCTCCTAATAGAGAAGTAGCTAATATGAGAAACAAACAGTTCCAGTTTCAACCTGAATTAAAGTTCTTTGTGGCAAGTAACATGAAACAATGATCACATGAAGTCATTATCTTAAAAAGAATCATTCTTCAGAAATCACTTTGTGCAAAGCACCATACTAGTGTAGACTATGATCTTAAAAAACATATACCTTCAGCTAAAGACAAATGGTCTCCATTTTTTGAAAATTAATTACCTGAATGATTCAAATTTTTATTATGCCCATAAATTAAAATTATCTTTCAATGTAAAGGTTATATATATTTGACACCGTAAATAATTCTGGAGATGTTCAGTTAAACCAATAATTCCCTGGGACTGGATTACTTTCAAGAGCAAAAAGAAAAAACAATAATCAAAAGCCCTTTCTAAACTCACAGGCAAGGTTTCTGATTTGGGATTTAATTAATAAGAAGTTAAGCACCACAATAAAATACATTTTTAGAAAACAGAATGGACTGCCATCAATACACAAGTTAGGGACAAAAGAAAGCACTTACACTTTACCTCCCACCCTTTCCCCCCAAAAAATTTAAGCACTCTAATCCTATCAATCTGAAATTTTACAAAGGATTTTTTGTGTGGTTATCTGTGTGTGGATATTATATGGAAGATACAAACCGAAATTCGATTTAAGATCTCAAGTTCTAGAATCATGATTTGATTCAGTAAGAATGTCATATTATTTGTGCATGTTATATATTTAGTTTTAGATTATACGCTACATTTTTATGCTTTCTCCCCTCAAAGTCTATGATTAAAGGATGGCACTTATTCATTCTGAAGTGCATGAGAGAATTTATGACAAATTGCCTTGCGAAACGGTATCTCCTCTGAAGAGTTCAAAGTAATTATGTATAAATAAAACCTTAAAATAAAATTGCTGTAAATCCTCTGCATCTATTTAGCAACACAAATAACTTCAATAGCCAAAATATTATTTTAATTTTAATTTAAGTTTCTCTCCTCCATGATGTATTTAATTACGCTGTTACAAGTAAGAGTAATTTTTTAGTATGTGTAACAGACCACATGCTAAAAAAGTTTAAGGGTTCAGAAAACTAAAATTTATAATTCTTACATGGTTATACTTAAGTCAGATATACAAGACTAGAAATAAGTAACTTCAACCTAAAATACGCTTTAAATACCACAAAAGAAGAAAAAAGAAAAACAAAGGGAAAAAGGATTTCTCCTCATGTAATTTTTGAGTGGACTATGTAGCAAAAAAGCAAAATATTAAATATCTAGTTTTCACTTCAAAAGAAATTATTCATAAATAAAATTCACTAAATAAGATATAATGAGATTAGGAGTATGAGTACGGAGCATTCAGACTTATTCCATTCAGATGAGAAGATGACATCTTTGGAGGAAACAAAAAAAAAAAAACCTTACCAAATAATACGATTTGTATCTCATTAACCTTTCAAACATCACTTCAACTTCACCATTTATACCATAAACCTTCTTGACAGTTTCTATTTTCTACCTTTTTTCAAAAAAAGCTTTAGCCTCTTAATTTCCAAGCATCATATTAAATCCCTTAGTTCAATCTAATTCCACAATCCCCATTTCAAAGACTTTAAAATACTCATCTTCTTCCCCTCAAAAGTTGGAATCCACCATGTAATTATTCAAAACTGGGAAACTAAAGGTTAAAAAAAAATCAACTAAAAATAGTATGCTTGTTAGTATATATGGTTTCACGTAGCAGGGAGACCACATAATTGCTCTTTCTGATTAACCTCTGGCCCTTAAAATAGTAAAGTCAGAAAATTAAAATAAGTAATATATACTTATAATACTTAAAATCTGTATCTATATCCATTTTCAATAGATGTACGAGTTAAGAAAATGACTGAAATTATATGATTATAAATGTTTACTAACAGTACAAAATTGATGTTCCCAAAAAGAGGGTAAAAAAATCTTTAACTGATATTAAACATCTTCAGTAATTTGGAAAAATCCCCAGGTTGAAATGTAACTATCAGGGAACAACGAAAAATGCTTTCATGCATGTACACATGTTAAGTAACAAATAAGCAAACCCCAAGTCAATACAGTACATCAATGACACTTAAATAACATTATGAATATAAAAGAAAGAAAAGATAAAATGTTGACTGCTACTGATGAAAGAGCATTTCAACAATTTACACAAAATGATACTAAACAGCTTTTTAAAAAAGATGTCCTAAGAAGATCAAGCCACAATAAGTTAGTGTTTTCCATAATACATGCTAAATTATTTGATCCCATATCTATACTGTTACTGTCTTAATTCCTAAATGTTGTGACAGCATATTTAATTACTGAGGTACATTAGTTTACATCTTTTTATAGGTATTCTAAGAGGATTAACTTTTCGTTTCCAGTTTTTCATCTTCTTCACCTCCTCCAAAGAAAATTAAAGGAAACATTCCTAGAATGCAGCCAATAGTCACCCCAACAGCTTTGCCCTAAGGAAACAAAAGAGAACATTTTTAAAAAGTTACTTTATCTCTGATAACAAGAAGGCAGGAAAAAAATCTCACCAGCTCTTCTCAATATATTTGGATTTGCTACCCTTCACATATATTCCTCTTCAATATTTATCCCTGTGTATACCTTATATGTAGATATAATCATTATGTAAACATAGCTTTGTTTTCTTCCTCAATCCATACCCCTGCATAGCCACACATTTTCTTACAAACTCTTTTCCAAACTGCTAAACTTAAAGTTCAACTGAATTGACGGGTCCATATTCTACTTAAATCTCTACTTAAATCTACTTAAATCTACACAACAGCCACTGCTCCTTCTCCAACATTATAAGTGAAATAACAACGAGCATTTCTGTGTATAGTTCTTCACCAATGATTTATTTAAAAATCAAACAGTATTAATATTTGTGCATCTTCATGAAGGATTGTCATGCTGTCCATCCTTGACAAAGCTGCATATACTTACATACCAATTTCAGTATACACAAATGTAGACATACATACCAATTTTCCTGCAACCTCACCTACATTATAAAAATTTTATTTCATTTTAATTAATTAATTTATTTATTTTAGAGACAGGGTCTCCCTCTGTCACCTAGGATGGAGTGCAGTGGCATGATCATAGCCCACTGCAGTCTTGGCCCAAGCCATCTTCCTGATCTCTTCCTGAACTCTTTGGCTCAAGCGAGCCTCCTGACTCAGTCTCCCCAGTAACTAGAACTACAGACACATAGCACTATGCCTAGATAATTTTGTTACTTTTATTCTTCTTCTTATTATTATTATTATTTTGTAGAGCTAGGGTCTCCCTATATTGCTCAGGCTGATCTTGAACTCCTGGCTTCAAGAGATCCTCCCACCTTTGCCTCCCAAATGGGATTACAGGCTCTGGGAGCCACCACACCCAGATCATTATAAAAATTTAAAATTTTTATTTTTGTAAATGGTTTTCAAAATTTGCATTCCTATGATGACTATCAAGTTTATATACTTTTCAATTAAGTTTCATTTCCTCATACAAATATTTATTGAGAAGCTACTATGTGTCAAACTCTCTACTTGAGTGTACCATGGAGATGGACTAATCTTACGTCGTCTGTCTCTCTCCTCCAGGAACTTCTAGTTAGGTACACAGGGAAAGACAAAATAAGTTCTATCAAACATTACAGATACTATGATAGCTACGTAATCTTTGTTCTTGAATGAAATGTTTTCTCTTATACATTGTCTGTTTAGCTATCACATCCCACAGTTTTTCGGGTTTTGTTTTTGTTTTTGTTTTTGAGACGAGTCTGGCTCTGTCACCCAGGCTGGAGTGCAGGGGCGCTATCTTGGCTCACTGCAAGCTCTGCCTCCCAGGTTTATGTCATCCTCCTGCCTCAGCCTCCCGAGTAGCTGGGACCACAGGTGCCCGCCACCACGCCCAGCTAATTTTTTGTATTTTTAGTCTATAGAGACAGGGTTTCACCGTGTTAGCCAGGATGCTCTCGATCTCCTGACCTTGTGATCCACCCCTTTCTCGGCCTCCCAAAGTGCTTGGATTACAGGCGTGAGCCACTGCGCCAGGCCCACATCCTACAGTTTTTCTACCAAATTTAATAGTAGACATTAATATTTTGACAATAGCTTGCGTAAAAATTTTCAACTTTGTTATTTTGAGGGTTTTGGTGGTGGTAGTGGTATTAGTAGTATGACCAATACTTGATATTAATAGTCAAAACTGTTATTTTCATTATGCCAAAACTTTAAAAGGTATCACTCACGCGGAGTTTTAACAAGCAGAAACTTTCTTCATTCCACATGCTGATAAATTTAATCCTTAGCTTCTTGTTTTTTTACTTTAACATATTTACTCATTTGAATATATGCACAGAGAAATCATTATATCCTATTTCAGACTCCTGACTTTCCCATATACAGAAGATAACATGACAAAAGCTAACTCTGAAATTTACCCGTGATAGAATAAATACAAATACACATGCAGGTTCCAGTTGACATAGGTGTATTTTAAAACCTCACTTGTAATTTCGCCCCACTTTCACTTCCCACCCATTCTGTTAGAATTCCTGTGGCAACCAAGGCTTTCCTCACCCTTCAGTTTAGGAATACCAGTCAGTGATCTCTGACCCAATTATCTCAAGAGATATAACATCAATAGGGTGGTGAGGAAGAAAAAAGTGATACACTTTTCTTACTCCCTGATCCAGGACCTGAAGCAAATTTCTTCATTGTGAAAACATTTATTTACACATTATTATTATGTCTTACAATACTCTAGGCCCCACAGTTAACCACATTGGGGCTAATCGTAGAACTTCAGTCCCAACTGTAATACTGTTTTATAAGAAAATATTTTTTGAATTTCAAACAACCAAATTACAAGTGCCGTTTTAAAATACACCTATGTCAACTGGAACCTGCAGGTGTATTTGTATTTATTCTATCACGGGTAAATTTCAGAGTTAGCTTTTGTCATGAGTAGAAGGCTGATCACTAACTTCAAATACTTCAGGCTGTATAGAATCAAAATGTTACGTTACAGAGTAGAAGATTCGATTCTAACATAAAACAAGCAGAGTCAACAACTAAGGAACAGAATCACTGTTGCCATAAACCAGTGAGGGGTTTTATCGCAATACACACACAGACACACACACACTCAATATATTAACACTAGTTTAGTAATTTAGATGTTTTTGTCATAGAGAAGAGAAAATGAACCTACTTTTAATATAGAAAGAAAACAATTATTATGCCCCAGAAAAATAAACTTCTGATCCCAACTTTAATGCTAAAATTTTTAAGACAAATTGCTAGAATGTTAGAAAATCCTTATTCCCTCAAAACTCCAGCTGGTATCAGGGGACTAGTCTCACTTTACTTACAAATTGTAAGATATGGACACATGTAAACTAAAAGGAAAAGTCCAAAATTAACATTCCACTTTCTTAAAAGACTTTTCAACCTTTATAAAGTAAAAATTACAACAAGCAAATAGGTCCTCATTTTGTTTCTCCACACTCTTCCTACATTTTGATTGAAAACCAAACACTTCCCTGCTATACTTGTGATCCTTCTACTACTCATATTTTAAAGGGTAGTAATTATTGAAGATTTAAAGTGATTTAAAGTGATTAGTGATGAATTTAATTTTTACCTATGTGTATGTTTTTATACTCTGTATGAATATTTTGCAGGTAAAAATTCTGTTTACTTCCAAAACATTTAATATCTTCATTAAAATAAATTCCATCTAATTTAACATTAATTTTATATTTTACTCTTCTTCAGCTCCCATTAGTGTTTCAATCCATTGTCATTTGATTTTTCTTCTTCCATTAGTCCATAGAAATTGCTCAGAAATGATTATCAATGAGAACTACATACCAAATCCAAAAACAAAAAACAAAAAAAAATTTTCAGAAATTTTACTTGATTTTCTTTATATCAAGAGGAATTAATTGAATTAATTATCATTCACTGCTTCTTAAAACTTCTTCCTTGAAAGCTCCCATAAGACCATGAGCTCTTAGGTATTTTCTAGGGTTCTTTAATTTTGCACATTTTCTCTGGAACAACACTTCTCAAATTTTAATGTACAGCAGAATTAAAACACAAATTGCTGGGTTCTGTCTCCAGAATTTTTCATTTTGTGAATCTGTAGCAGGCAGATTTTAAGGTGGCCTTCATGATATCTTCCTTCTGATATTTAAGTCTTTGCATAGTCTCCTCCCCTTGAGCATGGGCAGGATGCTCTAACTTGCTTTGAATAATAGGAAAGGTGATGGGGTGTTACTCCTGCGATTACATGACATTACATAAGGCTCCATCTTGCCATCCTGCCAGCAGACTCATTTTCTTTCTCCCTTGCTGGCTCTGAAGATGCAGGCTGCCATGTTGTGAGAGGGTCTACTGAGAGGGCCCCATGGCAAGGAACTGCAGGTGACCCGTAGATCGGGATGTCCAATTTTTTGGCTTCCCTGGGCCACATTGGAAGAAGAATTTTCTTGGGCCACACATAAAATACACTAACACTAACGATAGCTTAAAAAAAAATCACAGAAAAAAATCTCATTATGTTTTAAGAAAGTTTACCAATTTTTGGTAAACTTTTGGATTACCAAAAGCAGGCTGCACAAGCCTGCTCTAGATGGAGGGAGGCCTCTAGGACATGAGAGTGCAACAGCAAGCCAGAGGCTGGGTCCCTCACAGTCACAAAAAAATTAATTTTGCCAAAGACCTGGGTGAGCCTGGAAGTGGATTCATCACCAGTTGAGCTTCTAGACAGGAACCAAGTCCTAGCTGGACATGATTGCAGTCTTCCAGAGGACCCATTTAAGCTATTCCTGATCTGACCCACAGAAAATGAGAGATAATAAATATATGTTGTTTTAAGCTGCTGAATTTGTATGATTTTTTTTTTTTTTTTTTTTTTTTTTCTGTGTAGACAATTATATTGTCTGCAAATTTTAAGGGCAAATTTTATTTCCTCCTTTTTTTTAGGTGAGATGGAGTCTCACTCTGTCGCCCAGGCTGGAGTGCAATGGCTTGATCTCAGCTCACTGCAACCTCCACCTCCCAAATTCAAGCAATTCTCCTGCTTCAGCCTCCCAAGTAAGCTGGGATTACAGACACCTGGCCACCACGCCCAGCTAATTTTTGTATTTTCAGTAGAGACAGGGTTTCACTACCTTGGTCAGACTGGTCTCGAACTCCTGACCTCAGGTGATCCACCTGCCTCAGCCTTCCAAAGTGCAGGGATTACAGGCATGAGCAACCCCGTCCAGCTGCAATAATTTTTTACACAATAATAGACAGGTCTAAGATGAAGACTGTGTGTTTGCATTTCTAAGAAGTTACCAGGTAATGTTGATCCTGCTGATGCTGGCACCACATTTTGAGAACCACTCTCCTATGAAAGTTCATCTTCTCCCATGGTTTTAACAATCACCTACCTTTTCAGTGAGGCCTACAGTGACTCTCCTATTGAATACTGCAGTCTGCTTCTATCCTAGCACTCCCAGCCTCTTCTACTTCACTCTGTTTTCCCTTATTCTCGTAACACATATAAACTTCTAATATGCTAAATATTTTTATTTATCAGATTGTTTATTGTCTGTCTCCCCACTGCTTGAATGCAAGATCTATCAGAAATAAGATCTTATTTTGTTAACCAATGTATTCAAAACTCCTGTATATCTACTTGGCATAAAATATGTAAACAATAAGTATTTGTTGAATGAATGAGTGACAATACCCATTATTACTAACTCGGACCTATCTAACTCTTGACTTTAACCCAAATGCCTACTAGGTGTCACCACTTGAATGTCCTACTAGTATCTCAAATTCAATGTGTCCAAAATAGAACTCATTATCTTCCCTTACAAGCTTATTCCTCCTCCTTTTTTTCTTGATTTTATTGATGGCATCATGATCCATCCAGTTTCCTTCTTATTTAAAACTCCCCTGGCTCTCCAACACTTAGGTAAGAGGCTGAAGCTCCTTAGCATTCACATACAACACCTTTCCTGTCTGATCCACGCTGACTTCTCCAATGTTGTCTTCTGCTGCTGCTTGTACCTATAGCTACTACATATTATATTCCTAAAATAGGTTCATGTATTTACCTAAATATACCCTTTTTTATCATCCTCTTCTAATTGCTGGCCAGTATGCTTGGAATTCCTCTTATTCATCTAGTAAATGTCTCATCAATAATTCAAAAATCAGCTTAGATCTAATAATCACCAAGAAATCTCCTCACCAAAAGAAGTTATTGCCCACAGTGTTAATTCCCTTACCTGTATCATTGTTATATCTTGTACATAATTCATTATTGCATATGTCATATTAAATTATAATTTGTTTACATGTTTGGTTTTTCACCTAAACAAGTTCCTCAAGGATAACCACAGTTTATTATTCATTTATGTTCTTTGGACCCCAATCTATAAGAGATACTCCCTAATTCTAAGTGAATTGCACAAATATTTTTTAAAAATTCAGTATACTTACAAAAAATAAGGAGTTAATAACACAAATTACTGTTCTTCTGAAAACTGCCAAGATCTGGACAATTTTTGTTAAAAACTCCATTCAAACCCATTTTAGTCTCAAATTTCTCAAGATCCTGAACTATACAGTATCTTGTTCTGGCTACCCAATTCATTGTCATAAACCATGTAAATTACTTACCAAATGTGTACTAAGACGTGTTTGCCACATGTCAACTTGCTTTGGTGTGAGATCAGGAATTGACAGACCTAACCTGGAAGCCAATGCTTCAACATAGCCTGCAAGTCTTTGAAGAAACAAGACAATATGATATATAAGTTATGTTTCAATAAAGCCTTTACAAAAGCAAACAAAACAAAACAAAACAAAAGACAATGAAGACAAAATGTAGGTTTTTAAAAAGACATGCAAATGTCCTCATATAGTAAACTAATTCGTACAAGGAGAAGCAAGATAATTTTACATTTGCACTTGGTACTCTAGAAATGGCATAAACATTCTTTACAACTTTTAATTTTTATTGTATATAAATATATTGTTTAAAAATATTTTCTTATTAACATATTTAACACTAAGGAAAATTAATTGACTTAGAGCAATTATTCTCTATTATTATTTTTAAAAACAATTCAAGGTATATAACAATTTGTACAGAAAATTAGAATTTCTTCAATTATTCCAAGCTCAAAGCAAAGCACTTTAACATATGAAACAAATTAGTAACTTATCAGACAGCAAAAGTTTCCAAAGATTGGTAAACTAACAAATACAATTCCTCAGACTGGTAAACTAACAAAAACACCCTAGAACTTTCAGGCCAATCTCAAGTATTTTATCAATTCTAAGTTGCCATCATTTATTGGATATACTCTTACTTTATGAACTGTAAGAAAAACATTGCTAATTAAACTGTGTATACTACCAACAATAAGATGGATCCTGATATCAGATATGTAAAAATGCATCTGAGAATGCATAAAATGTGGTATTTGTTGTTTAATGATAAGCCCCCCAAAAAAGAGAGAAGAGAAATAGTTTTTAAATACAAAGACTTCAAGAAAAATCTTCATCTCTAAACAAAAATAATTGTTTTATGATACAATATATAGCTAAATGGCTTTAAAATCTCTTAGATCATTTGGTTCTATTAAATATATCCAAAAGCTATACAATGACTATAATACTCTCATTATTTACTTTAATGTTAGAAACTGGGAATAGAATGTTTAAGAGATGATATCATGATGCATTTATGCCAGGATTCCAAGAATATAAAATTCTTGCCATGGCCCTAAAGCAAAGAAACTTTTTTTTTTTAAACTGTGGCTTTGGCCCCAGACTCCGGTGCAGAAGTCTAATATAGAAGGTTAAGGTTAGATTACTTATAAAGCTGCTTTGCCTAGATTACAGGGCTATGTAAACTTCTAAGAAAAAATTCAAATCTGAAACTGTAACACTCAAATGAGCCACGGAAAGAAGAGACAAAGTCAAAGACACAGCAAGAGAGAACATATTTATCATAATAATGTCCACTTAGTCTAATTTATACTCCCCCAGCCTTCCCCAAGCTCAGGAAGCAGCTCAGGCCATCTGCCACTGGGAACAAGAATGTGAAGAGAGAGAGAAAGTTGGCCTTTTCTAAATAGATGTCCTTAGTTTGTTTCATTATTCCTGCCACATAAAGTAAAGAAAGCAAAAAATAGCCAAACCCATATATGCTTTGGCCATTATTTCCTTTGAAAGCTCCCCCCTCTAGAAACCATGTATAGTCATCAGTATCCTTAAATTTGAGCCATATCCTTTCTCTTTGGGTTTTGTGGGAGTAGGGTGAGGTGGAATAATGAGAGAGGTTCTTGCTTTTAATCATGCCTTACCCTTAGAGATGTCTATAAAATACATATAAATACTTCAGTAAACACAAATTCCATTTTGCTTACATTATGGTAGATTTAGAATAAACTTTTGCATGCATCAGAACCACTCATGAAAATTACTAAACACAAATGCCAGGGTTCCCTCTCCAGAGATACTAAGAATGTATAACTGGGATATCACCCAGGCATCTACATTTGATAGATACCAAAGATTTACTACTATTAGTTAAGAAGAAGTAAATTCAAAATTTTAATTCTAGAAAACAAAGAAAAATTAAATATCCCTTTGTTATGCTTCTCAATTAAAGAAGAGTGGGGAACAGAAAGACAGCAAGCACAGAATATACAAATGAATAAGTGAATGAACCTACCCAAGTCCAGCTAGATCTGACACAAGATTTCCCAAAGCAGCAGCTAAAAATTTGAAAAATAAACAAATGAACTGTTACATAAAAGAAGAATAATTATGTCACTCTGTAATCAACAAAGCACTGATCTTGGAAGAGTTCTCACATTTCTCAAACTAAAGCAACTATATTCAAAGTAACTCATTGGACAGCTCTTACTCTTAAGGTTTTGAATAGAACACAATTTTGAAATTATAATATTCTACCTCCATTAAGTAGTAGGTTTTTTTCTGTTATGGCAGCCAATTTCCATTTGGTTTCAATATTAATTGTACAATATTTTGTAGTATCTTTCATATAATATTTAAAGGAATTGGTAAAGCTGCATGTACACCTATGAAATTCAAGAAAGTCAAGGAGAAAAAAAATACTTCTTTCATGAACTCATTTACCTAATGCTTTCTACAACAAATACAACATAGAACTCTTCCCAAATTTTACCTCCATGAAAAATAGAGTGGTAAATGGGACAGAGAAGACAGATGTTTAATCCCGTATTTCCTTCTTTGATTTTTTCTACCCAACTCAAGAAAAAAAAAAAATCTACCCAACTCAAAAATAAATCAAAAATAAATAAATAATAGGCTGGGCACGGTGGCTCACACCTGTAATCCCAGCACTTTGGGAGGCTGACGTGGGCGGATCACAAGGTCAGGCATTCGAGACCATCCTGGCCAACGTGGTGAAACCCCGTCTCTACTAAAAATACAAAAATTAGCCAGGCATGATGGTGGGCGCCTGCAGTCCCAGCTACTCATGAGGCTGACGCAGGAGAATCACTTGAACCTGGGAGGTGGAGGTTGCAGTGAGCTGAGATCGCACCACTGCACTCCAGCCTGGGTGACAGAGTGAGACTCTGTAAATAAATAAATAAGGGTAGAAATGTTTAGGGGTAACACTGAATTGCCAGAAAATCTTGTCTTAATGAAATCAATATAGCAGAGTATTGTTATCCAATAACTAATTATATAAAGTATCTAAAATTTTCAGAAAAAGTACTACATATACAAAACTAAGAATCAGAAGAATACGATGAAGAAAACAGATATCTCAATGAGTAAACTCATTCAAATAAATTACCCTCTTCGAAACTTAATCTACTGAAATGTTTTATAAATGTATAGACAATGAAATAATAACATTTAATATTGTTAAATACCTGCCATAGTTGAAATTCCCAAAATAATTCCAATAGACATTTCAATATGGGTTCCCTGAAATATGATAAAAAATTAATCTTAAAAATTAAAGCTGAAGTGACTATAAAAGAATAGCAAAGCATTAATAAAAACAGATATAATAGTTAAATCAACATGTTAGTGCTGCAAAATTACATACATCATATATGCACATATAATGTAGTAATTCATTAAATTATTAAATATATGCATTCATACAGAAATAACATAACATTTCATTCATTCAAATTAGGTTTATAAAAATAAAATTAGCAACACATGTAGAAATATAGTTCATCATTAAAAATCTAGAATTTCTATTTTTCTACCACAGAGAAAAATGCTTTAAAGCTCTTTGAAAACAAGACCAACTCACATTGATTTTAAATTCTGAACTATACATCTATACTACTGCTATTTACTCTATCAAAAGATTAAAAGGAGACTAAACCAGTTTCTAGGGAAATTGGGGTTTATAAAATTATCCTTATAACACTTAGCTCTTTAATCATTAAATAGTGAAACTGTACAATCATTTATAAGCAGCAACGGCATTTAGTACAATAGATCTACACTCAAAACAAAGCCCCATCGTATCGCCACTGAATTTAATGACAGAGTTTAAGACTTTCTATATGTATATCACCATTCCTTTGAAGAAAAGAGGGGCTCACATTTTACTTTCATTTTAGAGAGGAGGAACTGAAGTGAAGACGATTAAACTATTCTAATAGAATAAAGAAGAAATCCTAGGATCTATTGTGCTAATTCAATTCTAATCCCTGAGCAATGCTGCCATTAGGAGACTTAATTTTCAAGAGTTCTCTTGAACACTGATGCTTGAACATTTCTAAAAAATGTTTCAAATCTCAATGATATTTGTGGAGGGAAAAAATGCCCTATATTTTATGTAGAGATAATGCATTACTCATCAATTATTTACAAAACTGAAAAAGAATTTTCCTCAAGTTTCTTTCCCTAGAGCTTTTGGTTGCATCACTTTAAGATATAATTCTTGCTGAATATGGACTCAACAGCCTGATGATGCATTAAAGTTCAAAAGTCTTTTGTCCTGATGCACAAAGTTCAAATTACAAGGTTGTAAATATACCCCAAGAAACAGATTTCGAAGAAGAAATAAAGAGGAAGAAAAGAAAAGGTAAAAATAGGCAGAGAAAAAGAATAAAGATGTGTGTCATCATATCTGAATGCAAAAAAACTGGAGCACCAATATAGAAGAGAGGCACCTGATAACAACAGTCTAATAAATAAATATGGCATCTTTAACAGCAACGAATCGCTGGCAGTGGCCAAAGAAGAATCTCTTTGCAGTACATATATTTAAAAAATAGTTAAGTGCTTAATCATTTGGTTGAATGTAATACAGCTGAAGATCCTTCTAACAGCAGGAAAAGCCCCATATGAAGTCAAAGGTGCTTTGGGGGCAATGGACTATCCACTTCTTTACTGCGTCCCATAGTAACATCAAATTTTGTGTTAATAGGTGAGGTAGAAATTATAAATAAACCGAATACTAATAGTTGTCTTAAAGTTATACCTGGTTCATTATCCTTAATACAATGAATCTACTCTAGAATTCTAATAAATTCTATCCAATTAAACTGCTAGTAAAGTAACCCAAAACTAACCCTAAAATATGTTATAAAAAGCAATCCAATAACATAAAAATATTTTTTAAACTATGAAACAAAAGGCTTAATATGAATACCAACCAAGATAAACTCTATTACAAGAGTTTACAGAGGAATTTGTTTTTACGAGTACAACTAGGGTGGGACAGTACACCTAACAGGAAGGAGGAAAACATCAAACGTCTATGGTGTGAAAAAAAAGAAGAATCAACTATCTCAACTTACTATTTTAAAACAGTTATAGCTACCCCACAATGAGAGGGGTTGATCAGTATTTTTTAATTAAAAGATGAAAAACATTCTTAAGATAATAATCACTTATTTCACCTTTCATAGATTCTACAGTTACATTATTTATATGTTTTAGTCTCAGCATTCTATATTACAAAGCCTCACTGGAAAATTTTATTGTCTCTGAATTAGTTTGCAACTATCACAGGATAATATTTTTGCCATACCTACTACTCTTAACCAGGTACTGAAGTCAGTGGCTTAAACATTTATTTCAGTATTATTTAAATAAAAAACTGATTTTCTGTGTTCTGGATGTGCTGGGGAAAAAAAATTAAGAAAAAATAAACAAAATGGTTGATAAGCCCCTGAAACTGGATTTCAATATAAACAGAGTAACAAGTATTACTAATTTGGAGTCAGCCAACTCAGGCCTGGAAAAATAGTGTACTCTTAGTTATACTAATAATGAGGCACACATCTGGGGAACACCAAATAGTGAACTACAAATTACTACAATAATTTGACTCTAGAATGTGGGTGTTTGGTTTGGTAGCTGATTTCCATCAATCTGGACATAAGGCTAGATTACATAGCAAACAAAACCATTCTTGAATAAACCATGTTTACATAAATGTTATAATCTATACAACATAAATTACTTTTAAAATTCCTACTTTGAAACTAAATCTTCTATTTATGTCCATTTGTAGTACACGTGATCTCCAAAACACCAAAAAGAAAACCTGCATCTCTCATATGTATTTGCCTCACATTCAACAATCCTAAGGTCATTCTACTTTTTCGTAGTCTCCTACACTTTAGCTATCATTTACAAAATGTTTTTAAAAGTTAGAGTCAGTGAAGCTGACAACAAACTCTTTAAGTCCTAAATGAGAAAAGTTTCTAGTTGTGAGGCACTTTGATTTTCTCAAACGAGTTTAAATAAAGACCCCAACTGAGAATTCATAAACTGGTATTCAAAGTACATGATATTTTTTTCTCCTCCCACTAAATGTATTGAAGATCTATTACCTTCAATCTAATGCTAATATCTGAAAAGAATGATTTCACATAAGGTATTCTAAAAATATGTATTAGAAGTTGATAATTGACATATTAACTGGACTGTGATCAATCTATTTTACTTGGACAAAATAAGAAAATGAATAGTTTTTTGACTGATTATGGCATTTTCATAATACATATATAAGAATAAAACTGGCCAATTTATATATCTGTGAATGTGAGAAACTTATTCAACTATTTAGAACCACACTGCCTTCTTGGAAACTACTAAAATCTGAGTTGGCTAGATTATTCAAACAATTAATGTAAATCAAATCTAATTGTAATGAAAATCCCATTATGACAAGTTCATAAGCTGTAGCTAACACTTGGTATGTTCTTGAAAACAGAGCACTGGGCAGTTTCTGAAGACTTGCATTTTAATCATGGATCTATTTCTGACTTTAGAATATGAACCCAATATTGATATCCATTAACAAAAGGCCTTATATAGTAGTAAGGAAGGTAAGTCAGCCATCTCTGAGATTAAACATTTTTAAGGAGCACCCTTGCATTAAAATACCACAGCAAAGGGGAATTTTTTTTAATACTACAATGGAACAAGGCAAAAGGGAGATATAGTCACTAAACTGAATTGAAACTTTAAACAATGGCTAGACTGAAGGCTAGACTATGTATCAAAACATGCTTTAAAACATTTTCACATTGGAAAATTGAACAAGGAACTAAATCAAATAGTTACCTATATATGTGATGATAATTGCCAATACCACTAAAGAACATCAGAACATTTTACATACTATTTTTCTTTATTAAGAATGTTGAAATTAGAATAGGATAATATACGCCTTAAATATTCTGTCTAAATGCTCTACCAAGCCTATTTGTCTAAATGCTTTACCTAAAGTCTTAATGATTAATAAATATAATGCCTTAAAATTGAGCTATAGTCTAATATGAGATATAGTAAAAATATTCTTGTTCATTATATTAAAACTTTATAACCACAATAGAGAAATTATTAGGAAAATGTAGACCACATTAATTTATGAACTCAAAATAGAAGCAGTGAGAGAAAGAACTTACAGCAACAATCATAATTGCATTATCCAAAAAGCCAAACCCTATGAAAGGTATCGCATTGTGGATGAATACTGAAAAACATCAAAAACAGAAAAATATATTTTAAGATTTCTATTAACTTAGAATAACAAAAACAGATGATATGATCAAAGTATCCTAAACAGACTTGATAATCTCTAGAATTTGATTCTCATTTTCCAGAGCCAATAGATGCTGCTACTGCTACAAGTAGAAACTATATTGGGAAAAAACAAAACAAACCAGAAAAAATATAAAACATGTAAAAATAACTGTGTTAGGCTTTTGTGTTTTCTTGCTGGTAACACACACACACACACACACACACACACACAAATATATACATACAATTAAGAGAACAAATTAGTAAACATATATGAGTAACACATTTTACCTGATTGCTACTGACATCAATCTCTTTTTCTCTTATGACTAAAGTCTGATACTATAAAATTGATTTCTGTATTAGAAATAATGAAAATGTTCTAAATCAAATGTCAGAAGAGCTATTTGGGTGCTTTTACTCACTAATGTTTTTAAAGAAATGTTAGAAAAAGGTGATTATCTCATCTTTATTACCTCATCTATGTGCAGTCTTTTTCTCCCCTCAAAATTCATCAATATTCCTAAATGCCATTGCAAATTATAAACAATCAATATTTGATTTAAATCGAACTGTAACTTCACCTCTTGCTACCAAAAACACACCTTACTTCATCTATTGGTTATATAAATTCAATGATCTGAGATATTAGAAGTGTAACTAGGTCACGCCAGTAATCCCAGCATTTTGGGAGGCCGAGGCAGGTGGATCATGAGGTCAAGAGATCAAGACCATCCTGGCCAACATGGTGAAACCCCATCACTACTAAAAATACAAAAATTAGCTGAGTGTGGTGGCGCATGCCTGTAGTCCCAGCTACTTGGGAGGCTGAGGCAGGAGAATCACCTGAACCCAGGCAGCAGAGGTCGCAGTGAGTTGAGATTGTGCCACTGCACTTCAGCCTGGCGACAGAGCAAGACTCCATCTAAAAAAAAAAAAAAATAGGAAGAACTAATACCTACATATTCTTATACATTTATTCTCATTTCTTTCATATTTACATCTTCAGCAGAATATCGAGGGCGTGGTGGATGCTCAAAAAATATTATTTCATTAAGCTGAAGACCACTAACCTGGAAAGGAAGAGAATTCCAGATTGAGAGAATTGAAGGCAGACTGTGAAACAGATTAAAAGTTGGGAATAGATAAAAGACTTTATTCTAATTAATCTATAGAATTGCCAAGGTATAGTGAATATCCATTCAACTGAGGCCTTTTTTCAACAAACATTAAAATGCTGAGTTTTATACTACATCCAAAAAAAAAATTCCTTAAACCAACTGGTTATATGTGTTTACTAATTTTTAGAGTCTTTTTTTCTTTTAATGCAGTTATCGCCACAGAAAGTATAACTGAAATATAATCCAGAAGTTATAAAAATTTGATATTACTATATAGAGCTCTGCACCTAGCAGGAAAGGCTAATAAGCACTCAAAAAAAAGCACTTGTACCCTCAACCTCTATAAATGACCAAGACCACGGGACAATACTATATACAGTATAAGAATACTATTATATTCAATATTATTATAGCTATACAATATTATATAAACCAGTACATAATAGGTATAAAATAGGTCATTTAAAATTTCTTCTTGTTTTTAAGAAAGAATGTCCAAGATCAAGGACATTTTTAATTACAAAGAATATTACTTAAGTTACTAAAGGTGGTAAAAATCAAGTGGAACATTAACAAAATGGGATTTTTTTTTTTTCAATTAAAGAGTCTAGCCTTAGTTTTTTAACTTATTGCCTAAATCTGGTTATTTACTGAACACTCAAAATTTTATGAAAAGCGGCTTCCAGAACCAATACAGATTACAAATTTAACAGGTTAAAAGAGTATAATGAAATTCTAAAAATTCACTAAATAAAACATTTACAGTGAAGAGAAAGCTACTTAAGTACAGAAAAATAATGATGAAACTGGTTAGGATTAATTAGCATTTTGGGATTCACTTAATAGCATCTCTAAAATTGGCCAGTTACAAATATCTTAAAATTAGGTGATAAGGCCATTAAATTAAGATTACAGTAATTGCTATCTTAGCAATTTTTACTTGGTCAGTAAAACCAAGGCACTCTGTTATAATAATCACTTTGAACTATAAGATATATGTTTTTAGTGTTTATACCTATATAACTATGTCCTAAAAATTAAATTTTATTTTAACTAAAAGGAAAAAATAAAGTTTTTCAAAAAGTGAAATAAACATGTACAGGGCACTCCACTGGGCACCTGAGATACAAAGATAAATAAGACTTGGTTCCCAGCCCTAAAGGGGTTTAGGTATGATAACACAGCCATATAAACAGTAAATTTCAATATCACCTACAAAAAATGATAATAGTATATAGTATTACAAACTATAGATTGTATGAATCTAAGGTGGGAGAACCATAACAAATTAACCAGGAAGAGAAGTCTTAAAGAATTCTTAAGTTGTTTTGGTATTTGAGGAAAGTTACTAATTTCTAATATAAATTACATTCTACCTGTCAGAGAAAAAAGAACTGGCCATTAGGCTTTTTAAAAAATTATATAAATTTGCTCTCTAGTATGTAATGATCTCCTACTAATTTGTGGCTTCTTCAAATTTACTCTCAGAAACACTATTCTATAAATTGGCAGCTGTTAGCAAATCACGTTTCATATTTAGCTTTAATTTACAACCTACTCTAATTCACTATACTGTTAAATAATTCACTTATTCCATCTTTATAATAACATCCAAACTTGTTTTACATTATTTTGGTATATTCTTGAATATTGATTTATTCTTGAATATTTATTCCTATCACAATAGAGAAAAGAAAGAACACTAGCAGCATTGTAATAAGGTCCTTCTTCAGGCAGTTTTAAATAAACTTTACTTTTTTCATTCTTACAAACAGCTAGCCAGAAGCATTTTCTCCACCAGAGAACAGTTCTATCTAGCCTTGGGTCTACAAATTCTAGTTCTGCATTTACCCAACTTAAATTCAAACTAAAGTAAATACATCATTTTTCCTGGAAATTAAGAAAACTTTTATCATAAAAATAATTCTATTTCTAAATGGTAACAATATTTTAATAATATTAGATATTTTTAACAATATTAGATATTTTACAATACTGTGTTACATCCTTAGCCAAGTTTATAAACTTTGTGCTTCATATAATGAACAGGATAATCCACTCTATCTGGAAAGATTTAATTTACTGGCTCTTCTGTGCTATCAATGAATGACACAGTTATTTCAAGGCCAAAAGACAGATGAACATATATTTAACAATTATAGAACCATTACCATATCTCAGCTGTCCTGGGGTGGGTGGTTGAGCTTCCAATTTTTCTAAAGGGGAGAAAAAGGGTATGGGGCAAGAATTAGTTACTACAGCATGATATTTTTTATTACAATGAAGAAAATACCAGATTTACAATGTGGGAGAACATCAGAGTTTATTCATAAATTATCTTTAGGTTAATGGACCAAACTTGTCCATACAGAAAATATTAATCGCTATGGATTAAATCAAAAGGCCAGCAAATGAAACTGAGCTTAGTTACAAGCCTAACATGGACTCTAGCCCTGGGTAAGTTCATTGTTTTTGTTTTTCAGATTTCTTTAAAGTCCTTGCATCTAGATAATGAGTCTGTTTGCATTAATTACACTAGAAAAACACTTTGGAAATAAAGCTACTCTTCTTTAAGATGGCAACCCTAGATGACTTAAGAAATACACAAACAAGCATCATTGATAGTGGAAAACATGAATATTCAAATAGATCTAGACATCTTTAAAATGAAGAAAATATTTTTAAAGCAATGAATGAAAACAATGACTTCAGTGAATTGTATTCTGTTCCTTAATCTCTGTTGATATAACTGAATATTTTAACTTTTATAATATGTTAATAGTATTATACATTAATATATAATATAT